TTGTCAAATATTTAATTGACGAACGATTTGAAAGTAATAAATTTTTTTATAACGCAAAAATCCAAATTCCAACTTGTCCGTGACTTTCGTTTGTAGTGTATAGTTTTCATGAACAAATGTTCGCAAAAATATATTGACATTCACTTGGAGAAACTTATTAATAAAAGTATGATTTTTTAATATATCATTTAAACAGATAGTTTTCGTTTTAAATTCGTCGTTAAGAAACACTAATTTTATCAGTTTGCACAAAAACTGTATCTTGAGCAATTTCCGAGATATTTGACAAACAATTTTTTCACCCCTTCAACATCTACGATTAAAGATACGTGTCAATTATGTTTTTGAAAACTAGATTCATGCCAAATTTTATCAAAATCGATGATTCACACTTCGGTATATTCCCTTTAGGTATCTGAAAATCGACTTTGCGCACGGATTGCTTCGGAAAAACCTGTACGTATAGAAAAAAATTTGCAAACAATAAAAATCACAAAATTATCGCCTCAGATTTTCTAAAATTCCCTGTATGTTGCAAATTATAAACGAATTGTTAATTGAAAAACTACTAACCCATTAAATGTAATAAATTTGTCATGAAATGGACTACGAATGGACTACGAATATTTATGCAAATTTATGTTTCTATGAAAATGACTAATAACCGGGACTTATAATTTAGATAGGAATTGTTTTATTTAATCAAGCCTTACAATTTAGGTAGAAAATTATTTTGTTATTGAATGTTACAATAATATGTAAACATCTTAGATACTTTATACATCGCTACAAATGAAAAACGATAATTTACTTACAAATATTTCAATTTCTTCAAATTTCGTAAAACTATGAAAGTTAGGTGGACAGCGGGAAATATTTACACATCGATTATTATATTGTAATAATTCGCAATCACGAACTATACCGCAACATCGAAACATGAAAGATTTAGCGCTGTAAATCGATCGCCAAACACAATCTTTCAATTTTTCTCCGCTTGAAATGAATCCATAACGTTTCAAAAAGTTGTTCAAAAACACAGAAGCATTCAACTGCCAAGAAAACTGTTTTAATTCGAAGTCCCACTTTCCCTAATTTCCGTATGAAATGCCCGTTACCTATGAGAATCCCTCGATAGTAATATCTTCAACAAACAACATCCTGCACCCTATAAATTCACCAACACCCCCCAAAAAAAACCCCAGGGTCCCCGAAGCAATCCTCGCGCGAGCCTATTTACAACGGTCTTAAATTAATGGTAACGCGTTGAAATCACCGGCGCGCGCGCGCGCGAGAGAGAGAGAGAGAGAGAGAGAGAGACCATTAAACAAGGGGCCCGAAGAAACGCACGATCGCCTCGCCCCGTGTATCGCGACAAACTTCCACGATCGTGTCAGGTATATAAACTATACGTATATGTACAAGACGTGGGTGGTCCACGGGGCGAGAAACGGGATCTCTCTCTCTCTCTCTCTCTGTTTCTGTTCTGTAGCTTACACTAGAGAGAAAGAGAGAGAGACAGATAGAAAGACGAAGAAATAAAGGAAGAAACGATCTTCGGGACTATTTACAGGTCACCGATGAGGGAAAGACAGGCAACTACTAGGAAGTGTCCCTTTTCGGCTTATCTGATGGGGAATTCCTAATTTTCGTTGGGTGAATACAGATGGCGGCGGCGGCGGCGGCGTAGGACACTCGATTTACGTCTCGATAGAGGGGAAAACACCTTGCGCGGCTGCTTCCTGGGACAGATCGTTGTCTATCCGGGAGTGACCAATTATTTTGACGCCTTCGAAGAGATACAACGAGAGACGCGACGCCTCGTTATTCACGAAAGTTTTTCCCAAGGGGGGTTGTTTCTCTACGGTCGGGCCTCCTATCGCGACAGATCTCACTTCAACCCTCTTTGAATTGAGCACGGAGTGCGTTTTAATTTGAATTTAATCGCTCCTGGAGAACGCGGATCTTCTATTTTAATTTAATTATGTATTTTTATACTTAATTGTAATGTAATTTTTCATTTTTTTTTTTTTTTTGTTTTTCATTGCTCTTGCTCTACTACTTGCTTTCTAAACCGATTTTCTTTTGTTAAATTTTAAAAAGTTTCATGTTTAATTATATATTTTTATACCTTCGTTCCTTTTTGCAAGTTTCTGACAAGTTTCACGCCAATTGCCCGAATTTTTTGTGCTTCATTAGCTACCTCCAATTCTCCGATTTCATCACAACAATTGTCTTAACACTAGGATCACCGATTATTAAAATTTCCATCAGAAGTATTAAAATAAAAGACAAAATAGGAAAGCTTTATAACACAATCGATTATTTTTTTTTTTTTTTTTCTACGAAACATCATTTAAATTTTTAGTTTCAGTGTTAAACTGATTATTAAATTATTTGGAAATAGAATTAGAGATAAAACTCAAGATGAAATTCAGCCAATTATCAAAAGATCATAGAGGGTTGAAGAATTATGCTATGTGCCAACAGCATGTCAATCGTTACGCCGTTTCCCAAATGTTCTTAATTCTAAACGATAAACTGCAAGCACATGGAAACGAGTGAACAGATGATAATCTGTTCTTTCCGATGATAATCTGTTTCATACACGAAATATACAGGATGTTTCAAAGTTTTAATGTTCAAATCTTGCAGGTAAAAGTGAGATTAAAATAACACGTGATCAGAAGCCTGTGAAAAAGGCTTCGTTAAAAAGCTGCAACAAAAAATACGACGTGTGACAAGCAATAAGTAATTAATACTGAACCAATCACCAGATTGGTACATCTTCAGATTTCTATGTTATGGAGAAATATTCAATATCATCTTTGAGAAACGAAAATTTCACTATGCGATACAGAAAATTATTTACTATTTACACGAAATGAATTGATTGACAGTACGTATGTATCTGCGTTTCATACTTTTGTCATAACTTTTCAACGAAGTTTCATTTATCGGCTACGTGATACTTTATGCTTATCTCTACCTGTAGAACACAGAAATGCAAAGTTCGAACATTGAACTTCGCAACACTCTCTATATATACGTTTCCAAGAAATGTCCAGCTACTATTTTACAGTCAAATATATAAGTACACGACTATTTACAACAGGAAGAAAGATACACGTATGATAAAGACAAACTTTGGTCGTTCCACGTTCCTCGTGAAATGGACTGAAATAACTTAGAGAAAAGAATTGTATTTACAGCACGACATGATATATGATACATTCGGAAAGAAACGTGCTTCGATCGAAACTGTTCACAGAAAAAAATAATTAATTACGTACGTAATTTATTTTTCTCGGCGTCGATTATTGCAATATCTGTAGTTTAACCAAAAAAGTATTTTTATATTGCAACTTGTTATATTATTACGAATTTCATCATTCGTAATAAAAGTATTTTTGTATTGCAATTTGTTGTGACATAACGAAGCTTAATATTATGATAAAGTTTAATAATCGAGAAAATAATTTTATACTGCAACTTGTTATATTATTATGAATTTCACCATTCACAATAAAAGTATTTTTCTATTGCAATTTATTGTAACATAATAAAGCTTAATATTGCTATAAAGTTTCATCATATTACGCAAAATCGCAATATATAGAAATACTTCTATAGCGAGTGGAAAAAAATAATTTTATATTACAGTTTATTATGTATAAATTATAATGTTTATAATAACTAGAAATATTTTTGTATTGCAATTTATTGTAACATAATAAAGCTTAACATTGCTATAAAGTTTCATCATATTACGCAAAATCGCAATATAACATAAATATTTCTATAGCGAGTGGAAAAAAAAATTTTATATTGCAGTTTATTATATATAAATTATAATATTTATAATAATTAGAAATATTTTTGTATTGCAATTTATTGTAACATAATAAAGCTTAACATTGCTATAAAGTTTCATCATATTACGCAAAATCGCAATATAACATAAATATTTCTATAGCGAGTGGAAAAAAAAATTTTATATTGCAGTTTATTATATATAAATTATAATATTTATAATAATTAGAAATATTTTTGTATTGCAATTTATTGTAACATAATAAAGCTTAACATTGCTATAAAGTTTCATCATATTACGCAAAATCGCAATATATAGAAATACTTCTACAGCGAGTGGAAAAAAATAATTTTATATTGCAGTTTATTATATATAAATTATAATAACTAGAAATATTTTTGTATTGCAATTTATTGTAACATAATAAAGCTTAATATTGCTATAAAGTTTCATTATATTACGCAAAATTGCAATATATAGAAATACTTCTGTAGCGAGTGGAAAAAAGAATTTTATATTGCAGTTTATTATATATAGATTATAATATTTATAATAATTAGAAATATTTTTGTATTGCAATTTATTGTAACATAATAAAGCTTAATATTGCTATAAAGTTTCATCATATTACGCAAAATCGCAATATATAGAAATACTTCTATAGCGAGTAGAAAAAAGTAATTTTATATTGCAGTTTATTATATATAAATTATAATAACTAGAAATATTTTTATATTGCATTTATTGTAACATAATAAAGCTTAATATTGCTATAAAGTTTTATCATATTACGCAAAATTGCAATATATAGAAATACTTCTACAGCGAGTGGAAAAAAGTAATTTTACATTGCAGTTTATTATATATAAATTATAATATTTATAATAACAAAAAATATCTTTGTATCGCAATTTATTGTAATAATAGATACAAAACTTGATAAGTATCCCATCAAGTTTCACCACATTATACAAAATTGCAATATAAAAATAAGTGCTGCAACAAGCTACTGCAACTGCAACTTTTTATAACAGTTAAAACTATTTTTATATCGTAATTTATTAACTGCAATATAATGAAGCTTAACGTTATTGCGTCAAGTGTTTCATTACGTCACGTACAATTGCAATATAAAAATACATCAAGTGGACAGGTTTACACTGACAACATATTATCATAATATAATAAATTGCAATTAGAAATTGCAGTTAGAAATTTGATACTCTGGATCCCAAGATCCGAACGAAGCACGTGAAACGAACATTAAGAAGAGATCAAAGACTCAAGAGAGTAAGATATAAACATAAAGAGCAAGTACAGTTTAACGTCTCATAATATCTTCTATACTGAATCCTAGTTTAGGGGCAGTGGTGTTGGTCCTCTGGATTGGCATCAGACCACTCACCCTCTCTGCCATCTGCCTGACGGTTGCTGAAGCTGTCATCTTCGACTCGGTCATCGACGCGTCTTGCGGCTCGATCCTCAAATCCTGCGGCACGTCCGTGTGCGTGAGAAGGTGCGTTTTCAGGTTGCTTCTTTGGTTAAAGCTTCTCGAGCAAACGGGACACTTGTGCGGCGACTCCTCCATGTGGAGGATCTTGTGAACCGCCAGGGTCCTGCTCTGGCAGAATCCTTTCCCGCACTCGCTGCACTTGAATGGCTTCTCCTTGCTGTGGATGTAGCTGAAAAAGGAAGAAACGAATTTCTCTTGCGTTATTCTCCTTCGCGTGGCCAATCGACCGATTGTTATTGAAATTCGCCGATCGATTACGATCGAGTCTCTCCAGGCTCGTTTGAAGTTTTCCGCCTCGAGATAAGTTCGTCGGAACTGATAACTAAGCACACTTGGCAGAAGATTGATAGGAAGCGATGTTTAAAGTTTCATTGGTTATTGAAGATACCGAGATATGATGCAAGATTGAAGAATTTGGGAGAGGCTGATCTCTCTTTTATTTGCCAATTTCATTCGAGACAAGCTTCGTCGAGGGATTGACAGACTTTGCGTATGGTATAATTAATAATAATCTTACGATCAGTAATAAAATAGTTAATTTGTTTATTAGAGGGTCAAAGAGTATGCAAATGTATCATTAAAAATAAATATAATATTTTTTATTATATATATATATATATATAGATATATATAGATATATAGATATAAAAATAAATATAATATTCTTTATTATTATATATATATAGATATATAGATATATTATTTATTATATTATATTACGTTCTTCGGTTTAAACTTTTGATCATTTTAAGCATCCCAAATGTTGAAAACTGAAAGACAATCAATAAATGGTAATTTCTTTTGAGATAAAATTGAAACTGATAAGCAGATAGTATAGTCGGTAAGTGTGCTTGTTCCAAGATCAGTAACAAACCAATGTTTACACTTAAATTACTATACAAAGATTAAAGAATCAAGTTTGAAAGGATTTCAATAATATACCGATGCTCTCGCCAAATTTTACAACTAATTTCGCGAAGAGAGATTTTAAGAGACTTGAGAAGTGTCAGCGAAACACTTCTTTTTAGCAAACGTTTAAAAAGTGCTGCGGCACACTTGAATGGAGAAGGAATAAAATTTAAAATTATTGGAGATAAATATAAAAGGTGAAACTTTACTTCTGGGGACCAGAAACTAACTTTTAAAGAGAAGATATAATCTGATAGACTTCGCACGAGTTAATGCAATTCTCGTTCAAAAGCTTCACAGCTGTAATGTTAAGCGTGTTCAACGTCAGATCAGTCTGACGCCATATTGGTTTCTATGCATAAGATGATTAAAACCCGTATACGTTCCTTTTAAATAACAATAATAACTCGCGAGAAGGATTAGAGTTGAGATTCAAAATATTATTCGATGCGATATTATCGAATCGATAGCAGTTTTCAGTCCTTTGATATATTTCACTGATTAAAATGTACTCAACCTTAAACGACCTATAAAGTACAATGTATCGGTAACGCAGGAAGCGACACTACAATGATAACAAATACACTAAACTAACGTAACTTTTGAACCGACGAACTTCCTTAAAATTAAAGCTTGCATTTTCCACGTCAAATTGTCGATGATCGAGAAACAAGCGCATAAATTTTCTAGTCCCCTGGAGTAAACTTTGACCTTGCTTCCGTATTTAAGAGAACCAACAAAAGATTATGCATAGCCAACATGGTGTCATACTAACCTGAACGCTACGACAGAAATGCTCATTTTTACATAACATTCGAACCAGTGGATTCCTCGCCTTAAAACTTGCATTTCTGGCCTCGGCTCGTCGAAATCTACCAGATTATCAGAAAAAAAA